AGAGGCCTTTCCTGATCCCTATGTCTAAGATAGTCCCTCCATCCCACTCTGCTCTCTCTCTCCACTCCCCCTTTAAAAAAATTTTTTAAGAAAGAAAGAAAGAAAGAGAGAGAGGGAGGGAGGGGGGGGAGGGAGGGAGGAAGGAAGGAAGGAAGAAAGATGGTAAATTAGAAAGAAAAATCAAACAATTCCATTGACCTTCCTGTCTCATTGTAATAAAGAATAATGTAATAAACTTTAGTAAATCTATATATATAAAAGGCTAAGCAACCGTCTGACCAGCTGACTGGCCAGTAGCTATGACGCACACTGACCACCAGGGGGCAGATGCTCAACGCAGGAGTTGCGGAGCTGTGGTCACTTGGCAGCGGCAGTTCACAGGTGATGCACCCTGGAATCAGAGAGGAGGGAGCCCATTCCTTGCAATTCTTCTTGCACTTCAGGACCCCTTGGGGGATGTCAGAGAGCCAGTTTTGGCTGATCCCTGCAGGACAGGCCGAGGGATCCCACCTGCTGGAGGGACCCTGCTCACTCCACAGATGCCCTTCGAGCTGTGGCACCGGCCCAGGTGCGGCTGCCTGGGGAGGGACCACGGGAGGTTGGCTCTAGGACGTGTCCGGCCCATTTTGCCCAGTCCCGCCCCGCTAGCCACCACTTGGGACCACCTACATTACTCCCTGCACTGGAGGGACTAATTAATTTTCTTTCAATGTACATGAATCCATCCACCTGGACACTAGTTATATTCATAGAGTTGCTAAAATAAATCTTGCTTTGATTCACACAGAGATGAAGAATTCCAAAGAAAAATTATAACCAACTACCAGAAATCTGCTTCTGCTTTCTAATTCTCTTTTCAGGCATGCACATCATCTGTCCTGAGAACTAGATCTCTCAGGGAAGGAAGGGGAAATTGCACAACCCTTCTTTCATTGGGCAATAAGATTGGATGTAAGAGAAAATAAAGAAATCAAATGTTAAGCACAGTGGCTCTCAGACTTTAGGAAGCAACAGCATCTTCGGGACAACTACAAACATTACAGATGTCTGGGCCCTTTCAAGTTTCTGATTCTGTAGGACTAGGATGATCTGTTATTCAAACGCACACCGAAATTTC